CCGGGATGGACGTCATTTTTCCGAACTTTTTTGAAAGCCTTTGATCGTAGAATCACCGCATCTTTTCTTACATATATTTGTAAATCTGGCCGTCGAGTGCATTCGCAACTCTTCCACAGTGCGGTGCTGTTTAGGAATCCATTGTCTCACCCGATTGAGCAAAGGGATGTGATATTTCTCAAAGTGTAGAGTTGAGAGCGCAATTGTTCCTTCTCTTCATTAAGGGCCTTGCGCGTATTGTCACTTGAAATTTCTTATTTTCCACCCTTGACCCCAGAATATGGCGGCTGTCCGTAGCCAGATTAGCGAAGTACTGCAGTGTCACTTTACCAGTGTTGTTGACTGGTCGAAAAGAAATTCGTCTCTAGGTGCTCTCCGAGCTTAGCAATCAGATTGCGGACACTTCAACACCAGACGATGTGACATCATCAGGGCTTAGCGATAGGCTTTGCTCCTGATGAGTGCCGGTCTCCACATACCCTTCCGATTCTAGTAATCACAAGTCTGTCTCCTTGGTTGCTCGTATGGGTTCCTCTATGAACCTACTTACACTACCAGTCAGAATGACTTAGGTTTACCGACACTAATTGTATATGATCATAAGAAGCACCACCGCGCGCTGTTGATGTCACCTCATCCGGTGTTGATGCATTTTCGACCTGGTTACCATGCACGGCGAGCACTGGAACAACTGACCAGTCACACGAGCCACCAGTGTTTTGACGTAATTTCTAATTTATATCTGTTTAACGCTGGTGAATGCAGATTGCCTAAGTCCTGCTCGGAGACCACATTTTGCAGACAGTCTCCCAGGAGGGCGATCTTAAGTTTTGTTATTCGAAATGACTAGGGCTGATTGAATCAATTCGTGAAGGTGTCTATAACCGGAAACTAACACGTTGCTAGTGCATTGGAGTGCTTTGACCCTACCATCTTCCCACCGATGCTCGACGCGTTCGTAGTGCCCCGAGTGGAGTGCGTCATCCAAGCCCTTGACCTCGTGGTTCCCGTGACTCCACCGTGTAGCCTCACTCTTAGTGACTTACTCCATCTGCGATAACAAATCCCATTGAAAGCCACAGGAGTGTACAGTGAATGAAGCGGCCATCGATGCACTGACCTCATTCAGACTTGCCATAATTTGACAGCTACCCATCACGCTTTGCTCTTCATCTCTGGAAACTTAACCACAATCTCGGTCTGGTCGGTCAGTCGGTCACACAATATAGCCTGTTTGAATGTCGCCGGATTTCTTCCATCCAAATTTACCAGCCGTGGAGCGCGCTTCCGACTTTAGGATTTTCTAGATTCAAGTTGTTTCTGTATGAAACACCACCTGATTATGCGTTAAGTGATCTGTATTGCATGATATGACTCGCGCTCATCAGATGACGTGATGCCCGTGTTTTGTGGTATACCAGGGTGGGTCCAGGTTGTTGGCAACGGTCATTTTTGAGATTAATATAGTATTGTGGTAAAAGGTAGCACGGGAATATAACACCCTATATTCCGAGCGCGTAGGATGAACTGGTTGCGCTTGCGATCGAACACTATGTAGTGGATAGAATGGGTCACTTAGCATTTTGAAGGAAAAGCCAATACACGCTTATACATGTTTGTTAGCAATAAAATCAGCAGGACCATAATTCAACCATAACCTTTCTAGACAGTACACTGCATCTGCACGTACGTTCTAACGACCGTATAAACAATCTGCAGCTTTTTTTGAAAAGCACAGGAAAAATTATCCTGGGAACAGTGAAGCAAGTGAGGCAACTTGCGAGTAGTCAACATTTTAACAAGCAACTCTTGACGTACCGAAAGCATTTGACGTCTGACAGAATGAAACGTTTCGGCGACATGGGTATGCCATGCTGGGTTTTAGGGATAAAAAGCGCCGAGATATTTGACAGTTGATGTCCTGGGTTTCAGTTGATCACTCACTGGCAATGAAGAAGTGAGGATATTCGACACGACTTGTTACTTATCAGCCCGAATAAAGCAGAATGTTTCATCATCGCATTGAAAATTGTTCGTAGTTCGAGACTGAAATGATGACCACAGCACTAACTCATCAAGACCACTCTGAAGAGTAGATGTTTCTCTACGTTTGAAACTATACATCATATAACGACATGGATATACTTTCATACAATAAAGTTGAATTCTATAGAAAGTTTTTCGTTATATAACGAAAACAGTGGAGGAGCGAGAAGCGCTCCACGATAGGAGCAGGGTGTACAGTTGGTTTGTTCGGTTAAGTGGGTACGGTTTGTAAAGTAGTCTGTGGTCACGCTGCAGACATTTGTATTTAACCCACTTATGAGCAGCTGGTTGAGTAGGATTAATCCCTTGTCGATTCTAAAAGCATGTGCATAATTGCAAAACAGCAGGCGCACTGCACTGCATTTTTAATCCAGTGCGGATGATACCGGATGTACCATATACGACATAGCATCCAGTGCGGAGCGGTTGATTTACGGGCAAACTGGTATACATTGTCTGCTTGTATGCGTATACTCAAGTAGCTTCTCGAAGACTTAACATCACCGACGTATATGCACTCGGAGGATAGCTTCGAGACTGCTTCTTGAGCACAGGCATTTTCCGTACAAGTCAAGAAATAGTCCAAATAGATAAAATGGCGAAATTATTTTATAGTTTGGATACATCGGCAGTAGCCGAAGTAAATGGTTTCTCAGTGAGAAGAACAGCAGATACTCTGAGTACCTCTGCATTGCACGCTATAGCACGTGTTCATTAGAGGACGTGATGCGCACAAACACTGCGCTCATCATTAGAGTTATGTTTGTGTTTATGCTTCTGTGTGCAATGCTAGGTCCATTGAAACGACGTCCAAGTTGTTGGCAACGGTTATTCTTGAACTTGGGATTTTCACCCTTGCAATCTTACGGGTCTTGTTAAGGTCTACTATTTTGTGTAGATTTGTCGCAGTTAGACACATGCAGACAGCCACACACATCCAGGAAAGCGCTAGACGGCCTTTCGTCCTAAGGGGACTCGTCAGTAGCGCGCACCTGCCGAATCCCGCCGGATTCGAACTCACGACCTTACTCTTGCGAGTCAGCTACTTATGTCACTGAGCCATGGGCGACGGCAGCGGACCGACATGACTGATACCTAACTGCGATACGGCTCATCCTCCACTGTTTTGCATGTTATGAATGTGCAGAGGCCAGGGCTGGCCCCCAGAGCAACGACTTCCTTGGCAAGCCGCCACCAATCGAGGTGGCATGTAAGCTGCTAAGGCGAGTACTGATTATTTGTAAGTAGTAGGGGGATTTAGTAGGTTTTGTGTAGATTCGTCGCAGTTAGACAAAGGCAAACAGCCAGTACATATCCAGGAGAGCGCTAGACGGCCGTTTCGTCCAATTGGGACGCGTCAGTAGCGCGCACCCGCCGAATCCTGCCTTATTCGAACCCATGACCTTACTCTTGCGAGTCAGCGACTTATCTCACTGAGCCATGGGCGACGGCAGCGGACCGCCATGACTGATACCCAACTGCGATACAGCGCGGCTCATCCTCCACTGTCTTGCATGTTATGAATGTGCTGAGGACAGGGCTGGCCCCCAGAGCAACGACTTCCTTGGCAAGCCGCCACCAATCGAGGTGGCGGTGGATGTGTGGTGGCTATCTGCCTGTGTCTAACTGCGACGTCTACACAAGCCTACTAAACCAACCCCTGTTAAGCCATTTCTTATTTGTTCTACTATGCGTTTGGACCATGTGAACTAGTAAACCGCAAGCGAGCGTTTTTGTGGCCATTTTTAATATTGCCTTAAGAATCATAAGTCTATCTTGTAATCTGAAGCCCGTGAGCTCTCGTCTGCCTAGAGGATCTAGTTACCTTCGCAGTATCCTAGCCCATTCGCGACTGGTGGTGGTTGCGCGGCAGCGAAGTGTCGGCACTGCCTACTGGCGTACTGCTGATGCCTCACAAAACAGTATGGCTATGCGTGTCTCCCTAGCATTTTTTCAGCGCTTTTGTTGGCGAAATCCTAAAGATCTCCATCTAGCGGGACAAAAGATAGCTATTACACCATGTTGATCTAGCGTTTTATTTTATCTCGGTGTGAGAGCGAAGCAACATGATCTTTAGATTGAAAAATACGGTGGTTCATTGAATAATTGATTTGGCATTCGCTGATAATCCTTGAAGTAATGTATTCAGTGGAATGGTTAGTGGCGCCTATCTTCAAGGAAAATTCAGGTTATCAACTCAACTATAAACAGCATCTGTTTACTTATTTACTGGAGGCTGCGATCAGCGCAACCGGATCTGATCGTAAAGCCAGTTCTCAATGTATATGCGGAACGAGAGTTTGAGGGCCACAGCTGACAATTTTGGACACTGCATTTGAAACAGGTCAAACATCGTGTGTGGGACACTTTTCGTCGCCTCAGCCAGGACAACAGAACGTTAGCCATGCCAGCTTTAGTCGGCCAAGTTGCTCGTGTTCACATCTATTGGATAAGATTTGATCGGTGTTCTTGCGGCTGTATCGTCAAATTGAAGCCACCGTGTTCTGATTCCTATCGTGACTCCCTAGTCACTTATGATTACTATTGATTCTTTTTCGCAGTTCAATCATCTGGATTCTGTATATTGATAAACTCAGCGGAATGAAAGATAGCCTTTCATCTCTATGATTAGTCCAGGAGTTTGTTGAGCATTCAAGTTAATGGAAAAGACACTGATCATTAGCGTCCCAAACCATAGACCCTAGCCGGTTTTCAGTGGCTGCTTCAATGTCCTACAGATTTGTTAAGATTTCGTACGAGCAACGGTCAATACGAAAGAGAGGGCCATATACGGTTAAAGTTTTACAACCTGTTCATATTCACTTAACAAAAACAGTAGACCTGGCCGTGTTTCCCGTATCCCTAATATTCATTGTACAGTGATTTGGCGCCAGGAAACAATTCATTCGTCGGTATGGTACATGATGCTGCGAACCTTCTGTTTTCCGTTCCAGAACAGCGAGATAACATGTGCGAATACTGTGGAAAATCGTATTCCGCAAAGCGCAACCTTCGGACACACATAGAAGCTGTTCACTCGAGTGAGTGCACCATACGTTTGTAATTTCTTTCCATAACGCACCGGACTTGTACTTTTATGGATTAAACGTTTTATGGTTAACAGCTAATTTTGGCTCAGTCTTTATTTCATGGGTGTATCGCGTTTGACGAGAACGATAGGGAACGCTTTGGACCATCCGACTGCAGTCCCTACGTCCCAAACTACTGAGTTGTAGACCTCATCTAACTGTGCTGTGATCATGGCAAGATGAGGCTTTGCACAGTACAGTTCTCCTTAATCCGTGTGCCCGGGGTTCGATTCCCCGTCGAGACAGGTTATTGTGCAGTTTAATCGTGGCTTCTATTTTCTACGAAATATATATATATATATATATATATATATATGTGTTTGTATGTCCGTGATTGGCGGTATCCGGTTCCGGATTTGCCTGCCACTGCGGCTTCCATAGGAAAGTCACAGGATATCTGCGGCTACAGAGAGACCATGGGTGGAATGTGCTGCACCACCCACAGCTCCATCCACGCACTCCATCTGCAGTGTAAACCCGGAGGAATAAAACCGGGAGACATGTGGATTGTAACCAGGTTTCAACACGCAGGCACACTCACAGACTAAGCGCAATGACGATGCGGCACACTCACCACATCAGCCGCATCATTGATCTGGGTTAGTAAACTGAATCGGAAGTAACGCCGCACTGATGATGCCTACACATTTAGCATACTCGTCTTCTCTTACATGTTGGCCCAAGGTGGCGACGCTGGTGGCTTACCAAACCAGCATGGCTGATGCACTATCAACCTCATGTGCTACGGCACAATGCGTTCGACGTCGATGGGCTATCCACCATCGACTCCTGTCGCTTTCTCAACCAACGTTTCTTTTCCTCATGCAGTAGTGATTTCTCTTGCACCTGAACAACCGCCCTCTTGGTATGCTGTCCCCATCGGCGCCGTTCCACTGCCATCTACTCCCAACATTTGAAGTCACCATCATTTCATGATCACTTCACCTTGATCATATCCTGGTAACGTAAATTCGATTTTCCAACGTGCCGCTTCTTTGCAAGCAGCTGTTGCGGTATCCGGATCGAATCCATGCGGGGAATATGTCCCAGCCACCTCAGGTGTCTCAGCAGAAATGTGCAGTTCACTGCACATATACCACTACATCGGGAAACCATGTCTACAACTCTGTCAAGCCAGCCGATGCGCATCACATGACGCAGATACTGCTGGTGGACGCACCCCAGATAGCGAACATCCTTTCGATAAACCGTTCAGTTTTCTCTACGGTATACAAAAACGGACAACACCATAGACTTGTATACCGGGAGCTTCGCCCCGACAATGAGCTGGTGGTTGTTCCACACTCGACACACCAGGTTGCTAACTGCAGCAGCCGCCTTCGATACGCGGTTGCGCAGCTCGCTCACCATTTGCACGTCGGTTGTAATTGCGCTCCTAAGGTAGCAAAATCTCTTAGTGGTTTCCAACACTTCGTCGGATTTGGGGCAGGCACACGGACTCCATTCCTAGTGAAGGTTTCACAAAGGCAAACAATGTTGCTTGTGTTGATGTTTAGCCGGAATTCGGCTGCTGTCAAAGCCAGACCATTAGTCATGTGCTGTAACTCATCCGCGCTGTGTGCAAACAATGCACAGTCGTCAGCGAACAGCAACATCCGGATAGCTGTCTCACACACTCGGTTTCTCGCATCAAATCAACGGATGTCCAGCAACCCACCATGAATACGGTGTTCCACACGGACACCGATAGTACAAGCCGTATCACACGCACAATACATCATAGCATGAAGATAAATATTAAACAGGCTAGAAGCCAAGCCACAGCCTTGCTTCACACCGGATACAACTGCAAAGTCGTCCGACGTCTGTCCACTCAGCTGCACCCCCGCCCGCATACCACTGTGCAGACATTCAATTAAACTTACAAACTCACGCGGGCAACCAAACTTACCCAACACCAGCCAAAATTCCTCGCGGTTCACCCTATCAAATACCTTGGTGAAGTAAACAAACAGCGAGTACATTGGCTGGTGTCGCTCTCTGCATTTCTCCGGCAGCTGACGAGCCGCAAACACCATACCGATGGTGCTGCGACTCAAACGGAACCCACATTGCTTTTCCACCACGTTCTGATTAACAACTTGACTGACGAGGCGGTTGATCAGGGTTCGGGCAATCACCTTGCCTATGCAACTCAGCAAGTTGATACCACCATAATTCGTGCAACATTTCTCCTTTTGCCCTTGTACAGTGGTAGCACAAGGACATCGTTCAGCTCAGGAGGCACTTATTCTTCAATCCACACGTGTTGTACCAAGTGGTGAAGCGCATTCACCAACGCGGATACGCCGTGTTTCAATACTTCAGGCGGGATTCCGTCGGCACCGGCACACTTGCTGTTTCGTAGCTGAGCAAGTGCTCTCTGCGTCTCATCCAGTGTCGACGTGTCTGCCAGACTCACATTCACCTCGTGCTGCTTCAGGCAGTTCAAGGTAGGCGAGTCAATCGCGGAAAGGTTGTTCAAGAGACGATCAAAGTGATTTCGCCAGACCTACATTATGTCCGCAGTCTGTGTGCAGGCAGCGCATGCAGTACCATCGAGCAGCGTCCTCAGCGGCTGCAATATTTGTGGATACACCGCCTTTAAGGTGTCAAGGGATTCCTTAAGCTGGCGGTGTTCAGCCTAGCATTCCATCTGCTTTGCCTTCTTCACACATGCATTCTTGATGTATCGGGCCTCCGGAGTCAATCGCCGTCGAAGTTGGCTAAAATAACTCATCTCGCAGCTGCTCCTTTTTCCATGTGCACTGTTTGCAAATGATTTGAAAATCTGGATGATCATTGAGAACCAAGACGCTTGCGCTCGCCTCCAGCATTACTTAGAGCGATTATCAACGTGGTCCACTGAGTTGCAACTCCATCTTAACGCGAAGAAGTCGGAGTTCATCAGTATCACCAGACATGCAGCCACACCTTGCACGGCCAGTTGTTCCATGCCAACACATCTCTCAGAGAGTTAGGAGTGCTCTCGTGACATGATATGCGATCACTAGAAAATACAGAGAAGTTGTACCGTGCGGAGCATTACTGGGCTTTACGACGCAGTTTCTCCACATGATTTGCAAATACCGTCCCTCGCTTATTCACCTCGCTCCTCAGACCAATCCTTGAATACGATGCCTTAGCCAACTATCTAAAAACTTAGTAGAAAACGGAGAAGCTGGAAAAATAGAGCACTTCGCATCTAGAATGATTACCAGTCAACGAAAGCCTCCATATGAAAAACCTTGTGAAAGGCTCGTACTCTACACACTGTCCTAATGCCGATTACGAATTGACATTATAATGTTTCGTCGAATAGTACACCTGAATTATTTCCCCATACTGCGTCAAATATTTCACCTGCGGGAATTGTGTAACACTCGAGGACACCGTTACAAACTCAGAGCCGTATGCGAGAACAGGGAATCAAATCAACTCTGTGTAGAACGAAGAATTGTAAACCTACGGAATACACTATCAGTAGGACTAATAGATGCCGGTTCTGTGAAATGTTTCAAAGCACGTATCGACTATTATTCCAAAAATCTGTGCACGTCCAATGCAAAATATGCATCCTATACTCGGAAATAATGGCACCAATACGCAATCCTAACCGAACGAGGATAAACGTTTGGCTCATCAAACACTGCCGCTGACAATCCGCAATTAGAGCTTTTTGCTTTTTCATAATTCGATAGAGTTGTACAGCAACTTTTCTACTTGCTCTTAAATTCAGTCTGTCTCAGTTAGCAGGGTCCGCCACATGTGCAGCGAACGCTGCATTCTTCGCCGACACTAGTGCGGCACTGGCCGCATTGTTGTCATCAAACCAATCAGGCTGCTTACATTTTACGCGTCCGTTTGTTTCTTCGGCAGCAGCCGTCACCTATTTATGGATATGGTGCCACAGGTCGCCCCCTTTGGCTATGGATTCAACGTCAACAAGGCGGGTAGCCATCGCCTTTTTCATTTCCATGCTTTTCTCCACATTACCTAGGGACAGAACGTTATATTCCTGCCGGCTCACGGTAGGAGTGCAATACATAAATTTACGAAAATATATGTACACTATTGTCCGCACCAACTCGTGATCAGTGCCACACTCAGCTACACGCGTCATGCGCACTTCACATATGTCACACCGCCGTACGGTGACTTAGTAGAACAGGTAAGCGTGACCACTCCGTGGGTGCTTCCAGGTAGCTATATCACATTGCAAACTGTGTGTTCGTGATCTTTAGGCCATGAGGGGCACACAGTGAGAGCAACCGGTCTCTGTTCTTATTGCCTGAACTAATACCATTCGGAGCAATTACGTCTCTACACACTGCTGCATCACGTGCAACGCGCGCGTTGAAATCCCCTAGTAAACAAAATCGCTCGCTCCTTCGTCACAAGCCATATCGCGGAGGATACCGGAGCGTAAAATTGATCCCTTCTATCATCAGAATAACACACGGTGGGACCATGCGTGCTACTAAAAGTGGTAAACTTGCAGTTCCGAAACGCTTTCGAGGAGTCATCAGTCACGGGCTGATTCCAGTCCGCTCTATTACCAGCCGGACATTTATGCACTCGGATAGTGCTAATCCGACCCCATGTTCACGTGGTGCTGTGGTGGCATTTCCCACTCAGTAGAACGTGTAACCAACACTAGACTCATACAGCTTACCCTGTTCAACGAGCTGATGCTAGCTGACTGCTCAATGTCGATCCCGTGGCGCGCGAGTTCAATCGCGACTGGTGCTGTACGTTGCCCGGGTCCCTCACTCGTGTGCCGGTCGAGTAGTGTGCGCACGTTTCAATACCCGATTTTCAGGGCTTTGCGCGGAGGCATGCTTTTGCGGTGGCGGATAGCTGCTGTTGTGGTGGCCTGTGTTGGAAGAAGTAGTGATTTAGGTGAAATGGGGACGGGAGTTTGTGCAGTGGAAGAATAAGGAAGGGAGGCGTCAGCGGTAGCATGTTTTCGCTTACCCACTTCGATGTATGCAGCATATAAGGTGATCCTTTTTCTAGGGCTACTGCGCGACGGCCGATATGGTATAGCATTCCCATTACTGACGTGATTCATAGTTGGGATTAGACTAGGTTACTGCCAGGATGTCTACACCTGACAGGAAAACGACTCGGATCCTCAGCAGAAGTTTTCTATATAATGTGCTCTCGTAACGCAGCGGGCCATTCGCCATGAGTCGTGTCAAATTTAGGTACTCATTTTCTTTCAAATTATGTGTTTTTGTTTGATATCCCAGTTCTGGCTGCACTGGATGTGAATGGACTGGGTGCATACTTGTCTAACACCCTCCACCTTGATTACTTGCTTCAGGAGATCGTGATTGGTTGTTGGGAAGGACCATCTGCCTGATGGTCCTTTTGATCGTGCTGGGCTCACAGATTGGTTCCATGCCATCTAGTTTGGAGCGGGCTACAGCCCAGCCACCGCCTTGTGTACGTGCGGTGCGGTGGTATTGACCTATTACTCCCAATCGTTTTAAATTTTCACCCACTATATGTAAGCGGCTGTAGAGAATACATAAAATACACTGAATTCAGATTATTCCGCAGAAATGTTCGTTGTTCTTGCTCTGTTAAAATTTTTGTAGGGAAATGGTTTTATGACATTTTAAAGTCCGATATTGTCATTCTTGCCGCACGAGTGGGCGGCCTTCCACTTTGACTCCTTGATGGCATGTATAGACCGAGATAGGAGCAGCTGAGGATGTTAATGGATGGTCGTTCAGGCGCTGCCTGCACACAGACTGCGGACATAGTGTAAGTCTGGCGAAATCACTTTGATCTTCTCTTGAACAACGATGGTTCTACCTGATCGTCAATTTTACAGCACTCCTAACAGTACTAAGCATTGCCTTACAAGAACCTAGGCGCTACGAAGATCAGTTTATTACTACTACCTGCACCCATCATGTACTTTCGATCTGATCACCCACCGCTCCATGTATTCGAAAGCGTCTTTCTGGACGGTGCGCCGTGTCTTACACTTTTTCCTAACACACATCCACCTGCGATCCTCTATCATTTTCCTTTAGTTAGGACTCTGGTTTGGCCCAGTGTGTTCCCGGTACTGTTGTGTTTACCAATTCCTCCCATAAAGCTGGCTCCTCGCGCAGTTGTTCCTACTTTTAGCACATCGAACACCGCTATGTTCATTAAGTGGCCCCATGTCCCTTGCAGAGAATTACACAACAACACGTGGCGGATTCACTTGCCACCACTTACGTCGTCTTGCAAACGACGAATAACGATCCTTAGTCAGTGACCTAAGATGGAAATCTAACGGAAAGGCTAAAGCTGATCGGGACTGGATATTAGCAACTACATGCATGAAGCGGAATGGAGAGACATCGTTGCCTGTGCGACTGCGCTATGTCCGATCAAGTTTCCAACCACTGATGAGGACCATCTCATGGACGGTACGCAGTCTGGCAGTCTTTCGACCGGTTTTTGCGTACCTTTATACCACGGTGTCCATTGGACACCACTCAGCTGCAAAACATAGCCCTCACTGTGTTTTCGACTTCTCAGTGATCGTTGTGCAGTGATGTTTCGGTATGAAATAATTCATTAATGGGTGTTATATACATGACGATGCGAACGTCCTATTTTCTGTTCCAGTGCAGCGAGATCACAAATGTGAATGCTGTGGAAAGTCGTTTTCCCTAAAGTGCCGCCTTCGGTCACACATAGAAGCTGTTCACTTGAGTGAGTTCTCCACCGTCCGTCTGCCATTTCTTCCAATAACCCGCATAGCATGCGCGATTAGGAATCAACTGTTGTTTGTAACTGTCGGCTACTGTTGGTTCGATGAGTTTGTTGCGTTTGGCAAGGGCGACGCAAAACACTTATGACTATCCAATTGCGATAGTTTAGTCTCGATGCCACAAGCTATTGAGTTGGGGGTCAGCTGACTGTTCTCTGTCAATGGTGAGATGGTGCGTTGCACGATGCAACGGAATCAGTCTCACTGTCTGTGTTCACCACTGAGTTACTATCTTTACGTCGGTAGTAACAAAATGGCTAGCATCATTTTTCGATCCTTTCCTCACCAGAAAATGCAGTAGTAAGGAAGTGCATGCATATTACCGTCTAGGACGGTGTTGTATAGACCACATATTCACTGTGCGGCAAGTGATAGGGCAGAGCCACATGGACAACAGACCAACGGTAGGTGTGCTCCTCGATTACCGAAGTGCGCTTTACTCAGTTGATACTTCAATTCCGCTCGAAATATCTACGCAGTAGGGAGTTCAAATAAGATATGTGAACATTTTACGTACTCTGTGCTGGAACACAACATGCGGCGTTAAGTTTTTCGATGATCTGTCGGAAATCTTCCTAGCAGCAAGTGGCGTTCCTCAGGATTGGCCACTTCCCAGTATTTGTGTACTTTGTCATTGATTCTATCTCGGAGTGCTCCCTTTCGGAATTTCGCTTTTGGGTTTTGCCTGGTGAAAATTTTGTTGATGTTGACTCTGCCAAAGATATCCTCTTAGTGTTTTCCGATGTTGAGGTGGCCAAGTCAATCTGGATAAACTATTTAGGGTGGTCCCAAAATTTGTTATTCGCTTCAGAGTGCAAAGTGTTTTTATGCAGGACCACCATCCGTTTGATGACCCCTTGACCATTTATCTCGAGAAACTCGAGGTAGTGGATCGATCCATGTACCTTGGCAGCTGCCTCAGCAACATCGGACGCATGAGCACTGCGTCTTCAGCAAAGGGTTTCACTCGGTCTGAAAAACAGTATTTATAAGGCCTCAGTGAGGGCCGTCCTACTCTATAGCAGTGAAGCACATTACATTTGTTCATCTCAAAGCACCCTCAAGTCTTTGATCAACACTGTCTGCGAAACATTGATGATGTCGGATGACACCTTCATGTCCTCAACCGTGAAATGCTTAGGTGATTGCTAGGCAGTGAAAATCAGGCTGATTTTTGAGGATAGCAGATAGCGCTGAATAAGTTGGGTTGGCTTGGGCACGTACTATGTATGTCTGATCACCGGTTAACCGAGGTGGGCCTCATTTTGTTTGCCAGATGTAGGGTGGCGCAAGGCTCAAGTTGGGCGAAAGTTAACTTGGCAGCGGGAATTTTTGTCACTGGTTACAACGCTGAGCGCTATAGGTCCGTTTCGCTTTCGAGGCTGCAATCCACGTGACTCGACTTGTGCTTCGCTCGAGATGTTCCGGAATGTGGCTTGCGATTGGCACGAGTTGGTATATTTGCTGTCCTCTCGTAGTCGGATTGCCTCTTTAAAGTATGTTTGGTGTTGCATTCTCTGCGCGCTAACGGCTTATTATGGTACGGGGCAGCGAAAGTCGCAAGAAAGCTGTATCTCTGATGCCGTCCTATTATTGCACTCTAGCCAGTTGTTTGTGACGGTATGTTGTTGACGATGTGTGGGCGCCTTGATCGTTTGTTTATCGCATTAGGGTTTTACGCTGGGTCCTCCTTCTCTTATTATTTTTCGTTCCTTCTCATAGTACTCCTGGTTGGTTTCGGATTATCCTGTTCCTTTTAAGTGTTCGGCGACGCTGTTCAAGAGTGTATTTTTCTTTCGCCTCACAGGCGTTCACCAGATATATATATATCAGCAGTACGCCGGTACTCAGTACTGACGCTTTTCTACCACACCACAACCGCTGTCGCGCTTGGACTAGGGGTTACCGCGAGGGTCACCCGGTTCGCTACACAGGCTTGGATCCGTGACCTACTTTTTACAAGGCTGGCGCGTGATCGTTTTGGCCACGAATGTGTGTTTAGAAACACCGCGACGGCGAGTATCACCCGCCGTTAAATAATGTCACTGCTGCTTGTTTCACTTTGGTTGGGCGTTTTACTCCAGCAAACTTGCGCCGACGGATCATGTAGTGTTTTGGGCCTCTGTTTGGTAACTCACCGGAGGAAACGCGTATGAACTGAGCGATCAGTCGCCGGCTCTCAATGAGCGACTCCTTGCATTCAGCCATTTGTGTTGTGGGCAGTCTATTCGACTAAATACTTGTGGTATTGACTGCTAGGACGACTCTCTACTTCGGCTCTGGCACCTGGTAGTATCAAGTCCATTGTTATAACCATTGATTACTTCTTGCTATGACGCTGTGAACTACTGTTGCTTCTGCTTCTCGTGCACTTTATCCCAATCCACTTGTTCGTTGGTTATCAATTACCATTATTTATTACCAGCGGATCCCTGCTTCCAAGATTCTTGTCTCGATGGTTTCGTCGTCAACCACGGAGATCGACCGGTGGCCCTCCATCCTCATTCCGTTCCACCTGCTACGTACAGTCGTAGATCGATCAACAGACTGGTTTCACGCGTACCTTGAAATCCCTGGTCGTCGAAGTTTGCTATCTTTCCTATACCCGACTGCAAGATCCCAGCACTGTGTATAGTTTAAAGTCTCCCGTATCCAGTATTCATATTGCATCTGTGTCTATCTAATGACCTGGAAGCGGTCGCAGCAGACTTCGCTACCGTTAGTGTAGCACCCAATGGCAAAGCCAAAGCCATACCGACATACTTGATGCACCGCGTGAGCAATGAGCGTGTTCGGCGTCGCGTATTTGGTGCAGGAAGAGCGAGTGAACCGCTCAGCACCATTATATGACGCACCACGCTCCGATGGATAAGCCACCTGTTGCGCATGCCAGCACACCGACTCCCGCGACGTGCATTGTTTGCGCGCCGGGGGTGCGGTTGCAAGAGGAGGAGAGGAGGCCAAACGATGACTTGGTCGAGAGAAATGAAAACCCTTACTTCGAAGTTGGCGTCGGTGGGTGCATCCCGACTGCCTGCCTGGGGTCCTAAGGATGATAAACACGTTTGGTTGGACACACTTGCAGATATGGCTTGGAGCCGGCCCCAATGGCGTTGGTGTTGTGAGTTCCTTTGTCCATCCCCTCCTGCTTAGCCTCCCCCTCCAATCACGATCTCATTCGCTAGGCATAATATAACGTTTTGCGGCAAGATAGCCGGCTGTTAGCTCTCTGGAACGGTGTCTATCCGTTGCTGGGGACTCAGCCGGCGTGCCACTGTCATATTTTTTCTTGTCTTTAGTATTGTGGCACAATAGCTGAGGTGTTTCCATCTGAAGCTAACGTGTATAATGATGATGATGATGCTTAGTAGCCAGTTGTGTGCAACTAAGCTTCGGGCATCATGCGAGATCTACAGACGTCGCGAGGCTAGACGCAGCTTGTTCGTATTCTCCGCGTACACTCCAACTGACTGTTGTTGTGGCTCGGTCAAGGACAACTTTATTCGCGAACTTCACGAGCCATTGAGTACAGTGTACATATTTGATATTGTTGTCTTTGTTGAGGATTTCAGCACACGTATCGGCCGTTTTCTACCGTATAAACGTCACCACAGTGGTCATGATGCGCTGGATGAGAGAGGCTCATATGACGGAACGAGACTTCTCCCAATGCATGCACTCAATAGCCTGTTTTCGTGGAACACCAGCTTCAGACTTGCGGGGAGGCGGTTAGCTACTTGGCATCCACCTTCACTGATACAAGCTGGTCACAAATTGATCAACACATCAATTTCAGACTGCCTGGTAGTGTACGGTATTACAAATCCATTATCCAACTTATTCGATCCACTGGCCACAAGAAGCTGGATGTCACCGAGACAATTTGCGAAGCGGATGATTCGATGATCGCTTATCTCCTGGACGTATTGATCGATAGACCGAAGACTTCCAATCTCTGTTTATCTAACCAACACCGGTCACTTGTGTGCCTTACGGACTCAGCTACTTGTTCTGGATCGCCTCACATGATCCGCTCAGCGAAGCGGAAGTTTGCCCTGCTATTCGGTAGGTAAAGCGTTTGAAAGCTGTCGGCTGGAATGGAATTTCTCTGGATCTATTCAAGTACGGCGGCACAGTAATCAACAACCAGTAAAGCTCATTGTTCTCCAATATCTGTCATTAAGAGGCACCTACTTTTTGAGTGAGTCAGTTGTTGTCTCGATTTTTGCAAAGGTTGCTCGCACTTCATGCATCAGTCACCAATGGATTATTCTCATTTCGGTTGCGTCCAAGCATTGGCATCCATCCTGTTTTATTTGATTCCCAGTTTCGGGAATCACAGCACCGGGAAGAACAAGCCGGCTTCCGTCCAGGCCGCCAGCGTGTGAATCAGATATTGAAACTCCGACAAATTCTGAAACACCACCATCTCTACCAGAGGCTTAACTTCCTTGCATTTTCCGCTATCTGTGCTGCATTCGACTCGGTTGATCAAACTGCGCTCTAACGTTGCTTGACGGACATCATGGTCCCAGCTAAGTGTATTGCCATCCTTCGTACACTCTACCTCCATGTGTACGGCAGAGTGATAATTAGTAGCAAGCCTTCTTCGTCTTTCATTACCAATAGCGGTATACGACGGGGATTCCCTATGTCCCCATTTCTCTTTAATTTCGGGGTTGAAGACCTCCCATGAAGAGCTCTGGAAAGTTACCAGTCTTTTGGCCTGCTGTGGCTACCGGGTAAATGAGGGACTGACTCAGAGTATGCTGATTGTATCGCCTTACCTGGTGAACACTTGCAGAGTATGCAAACCATTCTGGGTCTTTTGTCAATTGAGGCATCTAGGTACGGAAAGTGCTTCGTCCCCTCGAAGTGTAAGATGCTGCCCCAGGGTTGGCCCTCATTCGTTCCTATGCACACCTTTGATGGCACATAGCTTGAATGGGTGGGTAGCTTTGTCTGTCTGGACTGCCGCGCGTCTGCCAGTGGCTCTGTTGGGACGCAGGCGTCTTCGCATCGCCAACGCTTGGTCAGTGATTGTCAACCTGAAACATATGTGGCATCCTTGGTATGTCTTGCCCCCTACTAAAAGTCCGGGTTTGGAATCTTTTTTTAAATGACATTGTTTTATGGAATTGTGTTGTGGCTGGTTCAGGTTGATGACATGCGTCGTCTCTCGTTTTTCAACTATTGTTGTTTGAGCGGGATTGTTCGTGTGTGGGGGCAACATCGTAGCTACACAGTGGAGTCAGACATTGTGTCTTGGGGAGTACATTTATTCTGTTTAACAACATTGTTTTGCAGCGCCAATTAAGTTGGGTTGCTCACGTCCTGTATATGTCATCTTAGCGTTTACCCTATCGTGCTCTGTGCGTTCTTGCAGGACGACGCAGTGGTCAGTCGTCTAGCATGTGAAATCGCTGACTTCAGGTCTAACCGCTGTTAGGTCCAGACGGCTGCCTGGTTGTGGAGCGAATAGCGAGGAGTGCCAATGACTAGAAACACACAGAATATGGCGCGCAACCGAAACCAGTGGTAGATTTGTATATATAATTTTAATGCTTAAATAAAAAAGATAAATGATCAAAAACGGCGTGTAGCATGAAAGTGGTCTGGCCGGCTTTCGAAGTTGCATCATTTCCGGATAGATGCAGTGAGGAACTACCACTGTTGTTACGTGAAGGGGATCATGGACTGGGCACATGCATTGAATTGTGCGGTCAGCTATATGATTCACAGCATAAATCGGTCGATAGTTTCTGTACTGTTCGATCAAGTGCTGTATGTTTACTATCTGTGCCAAAATGCGTGTGTTAAGGTATGAAGTATATACGGAATCGAGAATTCCGCTTGTCAAGTCATGAGCTTGTCCATTGGAGCGTAGCGTCCCTTCGCGATTGCATGGGTCGAACCTAGAAGACAAGCGACTGTCTACGAAAGCTTGGAAGGTCAGGAATTGCATGCTTGGAAAGAGCTGGGGCTTAAGCGTAACTGGAACCGGGCAACTATATTGACAACGCGTTAAAGAAGGAATGCGAGACGGGATGAATTGAGAACTAGCATCCTCACTCCTATCCACACTGCTTGATGCAGCAGGTAGTGCAACGTTGGTTATCCTCTCCGGCGGCCACATCATCGAGTTGTGTGCATTGGCGTTTGGTAAAATGCATTGTGGGATGCTGCTTAACTGAATTGAACCCAAGTTTGTGGATTACCGGAGTCTCCTCTCTGTCCTTCGAATTGTTGGTTGTTTCAACCGTCTCCCATTTGTGTCTTTGTTGCTTTTTTATTGAAAATGTTCTCACAATTCTCCGTGAACTCGAGTTCGTCTATGCAGTTCACTCTAACCTGCTGGCTCGGTAGGCAGTGCTAAAGAAACAAACCATTTTGTGCCCATCACACATATGCGGGCGAGATGCACATATCTACGGCCCCCCACTGTGTGTTGTATGAAACGGCAGGCCTCATTTCCTATGCCACTGTGATACGTTTTGTGCAGTTGTTTGCGTGGCAGTGCGTTTGCCGACCACGAGACGAGCATCCACGTTTTACATGTGTCATTGCAATCGGTTTAACGGAACGTGTTTCATTATAATACCTTGTTTGACTAGCACTGCCCTCACTGTAATCTGTACGTGTTCCACAACAATTCTTAATTGTTGCGGGCTCTCCGATAGTGAGTCCGCTGGATTTAATGAAAGTGGCTGTGTATCTGTCCACTGATCATAAAAGCGGTGTAACTTGGCTTAAATTACCGCTTGAATGTTTGTAGCGGTGCATTATTTCACTAAGTGGTTGCATTTGCTGGCGATTATGTCACCGAGACCACAGTTGTGTGATGTGTAGCTCCGGATGCAGCCGTAGTTGTGGGTCGTCCCATGTTTGCCTTGTTTATTTTCCCTACTCTTTGCACCTTCGGACTAACTTGGAAATTGAGGACCTTGGAATCCTGCCTTGTTCATTTTAATTTCTCTAATGATACTCGCTATACTATGCTAACTCCCTTTGCATACTTCCACTTCATTACATATCCTAGTCGAGTACACCGCATAACTTTGTTGTCCAGTGTCGTCAGACACCTCCGAACTGTTGCCTAGTTTAGGTAATTCGTCTGACTTAATGGTGGAATGGCAATGCTCATTGAAGCACTTTGTGATTAGAAATGGATTTAGAAGCACTTCGCATCTATCGTCACCTTTTCTCCACGTCTGTTACTGTTGGTAAGATCACTCTATTTGTTATGGCAGAAAAACACTCCCACAGATGCGAGCATTGTGACAAAACCTTCTATCAGAAGAGTGTCCTGAGAAGGCACATCGACGCAGTGCATTCGAGTGAGTATTGGCTTTGAGATTTTTCAGTGTTTCTGGTCATTGCAATTGTGTTTTCATTGCCTCTAGTGAATTTCCGCAACATACTGCCGACTGCTGCTATTCGTTATGTGTAACATCACGTTTACTCCCACCTTTGCTACCGTGCCCCTGCGCGTTAGTGATTTCGGAAGACCAGGCTGCTCCTTTAGTAAATAGTCATCTTTGATTGTTCTCTCTCTGTTTTCCAATCCAGAAGAACGCCCCCATCCATGTGACCGCTGTGGTAAATCATTTCCCACCAAAGACCTTTTGCAAAGACACTCTAGTTCTGTTCATTTGGGTGAGTGTGTTGGTGCAACTTGTGTTGGAACATCTTCAATCGTTTGACTCGTTTTTCTCCGAACTAACATTGCTTTGATTTCACGATGAAAATTGAATGTTGTTGTGAAACTAGTTTTCATTTATCATGCTAGTTATTTTGCGATGCATTGAATGAGCGTCATATTTCGCTTTGCTCCCATGTATTCGCCTCTGGAACCTTCCTGTATGCGTGTGTTTCTGTTGTCAGTTGAACTGATTCTAGCAACCGGTCTGTTTTTCCGCTAGTGCTGTTTCAACGAACCCTCAAGTGTTTCCCCCAATATCGGATTTCAAGATGCTCTCGCGGTTTGCGAAGCTATCACTATTGTATGTGATAGTCAAACCGAATAGCAGCTTGAATCGTCTTTGATGTACACTGCAGAATGCTTTCAAAATCCAAGGCTTCCACGTAGTGGATCATTTCTGAAGTTTTGATTAACCTTATTGAGGCGCGAAAGACGGTCCTATATGAACCTCAGTTCCAACGCAATTGTCACAGTCATTCACATGGTCTTCCATGAACCCAGGCACGGCGACGAGCAGTGGCAACAAACATCCATCATGTGCATTCTGTCTGACCACCCACATCTCCATTTATTCGAGAGCGTCTTTCTGAACCTTTCACCGTGTTTTCTTGTTGTAAGCTTTCTTGGAACACTGTTTCTGCTTTTTTCTTAGCCTCAAGCAGCAACGGTCTTCTGACGTTCTCTTTGTGTTGCGACTCCCATGTTAGTCCATTGTTGAATCGATACTCTCCTGTTTGGTCACTCCTCCTATACTACTGCCTCCTGGCGCACCACACACCACCGGCTTCATCGGATAGTTCGTTATTTCGCTCGATGATATTTACAGAGAATTAGCCACTGAGGCTTGGTGAATCAATTTGTCACCCCACCCGCGTCGCGGTGAGAACGATAAATTACGATGGTTAGTCAGTGATGTGAGATGTAAGTGGAATGCCAGGGTGGAAATTCAATAAAAAGCATAAAGCTGCTCGGGGTAGAATATCAGCACTTACATGCAAGAAGCTGTATGGGGAAGCATTGTTGTCTGTGCGACTGTGCCATGTCCGATCACATTTCCAACTACTGACGATTACCATTTTTGAGGACGGCACGCAGTCTGACAATGTCTTTAAATCGGTTTTTGCATGCATTTATGTCACGGTGTCCATTGGCTACCACTCAGCTACAAAACAGCTCTGACTATGTTTTCGACATCTCAGTGACCATTGTGTAGTGATTTCTTGACACGAACTAATTCCTTCCTCGAAGTTGTACATGACGCTGCGAACGTCCTATTTTCTATTTCAGTGCAGCGAGATCACAAATGCGAATCCTGTGGAAAATCCTTTTCCCTAAAAGGTCGCCTTCGAGCCCACATAGAAGCCGTTCACTTGAGTGAGTTCCACACCTTCCATCTGTACGATTATGAATCACATGTTATTTATAACTGTCGGCTACTGTTGGTTCGATGAGTTTGTTGCGTTTGGCAAGGGCGATGCGATGGTCAGTTTAGTCTCGATGCCACAGGCTGTTGCGTTGTGGATCAGCTGACTGTTCTGTGTCGATGGTGAGATGAGGCTTTGCACGATGCAATGATCTGCTGTTTCAGTCTCACTGACTGTGTTCACCACTGAGTTACTATCTTTACGTCGGTAGTGATAAAATGGCTAGCATCGTTTCTCCTTCGTTGCCTTACTGCAGGATGGGAATCCTGGATTAGTGAAGAGCATGCATATTGCCGTCTAGGACGGTGTTGTATGGACCACATATTCACTGTGCGGCAAGTGCTAGGGCAGAGCCACACCGACGACAGACGAACAATAGCTGTGTTCACCGGCTTCAGGAGTGCGTTTCACTCAGTTGGTTGTTCGATTCTGTTCGAAATATCTACGCAGAAGGATGTTCCAATAAGATATGTGAACATTTTACGTACTCTGTGCTGGAACACAACATGCGGCGTTAAGGTTTTCGGTGATCTATCGGAAATCTTTCCAGTAGCAAGTGACGTTCCTCAGGGTTGCCCAATTTCCCATTTCCGTACACTGTCGTCCATACCATCTCGAAGTTTTCCCTTACGGAATCTCAAGATGGCGACGTTGTGGTGTTGTCTGGTCAAAAGTTTGTTAATGTTGATTCTGCAGAAGATATTCTTTTAGTGTTTTCCGTTGTTGGGGCGACCATGTCAATGTGGATACACTATTTGGTGTGGTTCCAATGTTTCATATGCTCTTCTGAGTGCAAAGTTCTGTTTCAGGACCACAAACCACTTAATGACCATTTGACCCTTGATATCGAGGAACTTTAGGTAGCTGATGTGCGGTGTGTCACGTGGCCAGATTGAGGAAGCAAAACGCGCATGGGTAGTATGAATCTTTTGACTGAAAGCTTCTTGCGTTTCAGTGGCTAAGAATGCCGAATTGAAATCCAGTGCTCTGAAACATTATGGTAATGTCATTATCAACCAATCATGTGAGCAAGTCTGTTCTGGATCCATATTCAAAATCACTCGTGACACCCCTCTCTTCCCTTCGTAAAGCGCGGGAATTCGCATTTGTAGTGGCCAGCCAAACACCAACTCCACGGGTGACTTCTCTATCAACTTAGTAGGTGTTGTGCGGTAGGACGACGATGCAACATAGTTTGCAGAGTTCCACAAGTCTGCTTAAGAAAACCTTTCTTAATGATATGGATTGCACGCTCTACCATTTCATTCTACGCGGAATGGTACGACGCAGACTTGATATGGTGTATTCCATTAATACTCAATAATTGTTGCACCTCCTCATTGATGTGCCGTTGTCGGTGTTACCGAAGTTGAATATAGGGCGCATTTTCCCAACTGCTGTTACGGAACTCATGTATTTTTTATATTTTATATTTATAATGAGCAGCAGTCAAACTAAACACCTCACTCCATTGATCGAGCCAAAATAGTCCACATGTACTTGCTGCCAGGGCCCCTCAAGCCACCATCACTGGTGTATCGGTGCGTGAGATTTTCGCCTTTGGTATTTCTGACGTAGTTCCCAACTTTTCAACAGCCGTTCTATATCCCGGTCAATGTTCGGCCGCCGACAGTAAGCACCTGCAGCTTTCGCAGCAACTGAGGTCGTAGTTACTCTGGTGGAACGATGCGCGAGCCTCGAAATATACAGCTGTCGTGGAGTCTTAACGCATTATTTCGACAGGTGAACTGTTCACTCCGTCTGACGTGCTTGTAGGCCATCCGCTCATCAGGCGCCGCCTGACCCTTGACAGCACAGGGTCCCGGTCCCTCAGGCGCCACAACACAGCACTCCGGACGCGTGTTTGTTCAAGGGATTGCGTCCATCGAGGCGCTGAGCGCTGTTTTTTTGCATCTGCGAAGGTCTTTTTTATCCCGACCACAAATTCAGGTCTTCCTCTTGTGCAAATACTCTTGGGACGTTAGGTAAGACGCGACGACCATGAGAAAATATCCCAAAGTTAATGAAATTCGCTCTCATCCTTGGGCTCATTTGCGACATGGATTGGGTTGACTTTTTCTTCTAACGCGTGGCAACCCAGGTGACGAACGGAATCTGAGGAAAATGTACTCTTGGACTCGTTTCAGCCCACACACTTTAAGTGGTACGAGCACAGTGGTTGACGCTTGTAAATGTTCAGCATCTGTGAGTCCTGTACCTATTATGCTCGTTTCTCCGAGGCTGTGGCAATATGCCGGATGAAGCCAGCCCTGTATGTTCAAAATCGATTATTTGTGAGCCTAAGGCTGGCATGAACATAGGGGCTGAAATTCCATCATTCATTTTGCACCTCAAGCTTCTTTGGTCACACCCATAGTTGTTTATTTCATTGGATATCGGTACTAGTACTGGGAAGACAATACGAATTATATGCATCTACTGGCTTTCGTCTTCTTATCACATTGTGCATTTAGTGTTTTATCGTGGTATAGCATGTCACTGTTGGTACGTGGTTGTTTTCGTGACAGTGCGCTTGCCTACTGTGAGACGAGCATCCCCTTTTTACATGTGCCACGGTAGCCGGTTTAACAGGGCCAGCTTCACTAGCAGTGCTCTCACTCTAGCATGTTCCGTAATGACTGGCACTAGCCGCGCGGGCTCTCCGATAATGGCCCAGAACTCCCGTGAATGTTGTGGAACCGGCTGTTTATTTGTCCACTGATCATTAAAACGCTGTGGATTGAATTGAATTACCACCGGAATGTTGCTATTATGGTTTTGTCACCGATTCCACGGTCTCATGCCATGCATCGCTGGATGCAGTCGTAATTGTCGGTCATCCCGTTTTTTTCCTTTTTTCTTGCCTACTCGTTGCGCCTTTGAGCGAAGAGGAGAATTTCCTAGATTGAACACTCAAAAATGAATGGTGCTTTTGAACTTGTTTTCTTTACCGCCATTTTGACTCCTTTACTCGCGCTCACCCTATCGTGCTGAGTCGCAGTTGGTATATTGTTAAGCCATCGCAGTTTGTAGTCATATGCAATCTCCTTGTTCATTGTGGATTCTAGTCAAGTACACAACACAACCTTGTTTGCTGACCTTGGTTCCAGCGCGCCACGGGATACATCAGTACTATTGCTTAGTTTACGTAATAGTGGAACTGAAATGCTCTGTAGTTCTCAATCACTTTAGAAGCACTTCACATCTATCGTCACCATTTCTCTACGTCTTTTATTGGTCTAAGCATTGCTGCATTTGTTCTCACAGAGAAGAAGCCCCACAGATGCGAGTATTGTGACAGATGCTTCTATTTGAAGAGTGTGCTGAGAAGCCACCTTATCGCAGTGCACTCGAGTGAGTATTGATTCTTAGGGTCATTCTGGTTATTCCAATTCTGTTTTCATTGCCTCAACTGAATTTCATCTGCATTCCGCCAACTGGAGCGCTATTCCGCATGATGCTACTCCTTAGGTATCGTATGTTTACCATCTGGCTTCCGTGTCTCTTTCGGTTTAGCCATTTCGAAAAGCCAGTTTACTGATTTGTGATCTGGTGCGCAACACACTAATGATCTTACTTTGCTTGATGCTGAGACGTTTTAAATCCGATTGCCTAGTTTGGCCAGCACATACGCCCGTGAACGGACAAGCGTTGTTTGGAGTATTTCGAGCAATATATATATATATCCATAAATCTCGTCAAACATTTACTGTGATAGAGCAATTTTAGAAATATTCGCATGTCCGGTCGTCGATCCATGTCTTAGTCAGTTGAAGTGGGCTGTCCCGACAAAGCTCACATACAGGGGCAGACGCATCAGTGATGACCAATGCTGGTCGCCTGTCATATTTGAGGGGAGAATTTCTCTCCGGAATGCTTTCATGGCCAAGATTGGATCAAGTTTGCACCAGCGTCCGTTATCTTCACAATTCTGGTTTCAAAACCCAGATTATGGTGGACTCGGCTGTGGTTCACAAATCTTTTTAAATCTCTTTGAGTATCATTTCGCGATGGTATATATGACTTTGTATGCGTCGTTTGCCTGAGTCTGGTGTCCCCTTTTAACCAAATGCTCAACTATGTAACTATTGATGTTCCTTGTGGTGCCTTTTCGTAGCGAAGCAGGGCAGTGTTCCGCGATCCATTTAGACAGGCGCCTGGTCTTATGTCTGAGGTAACTTAGACCACAGTTGCAAGTGAATTGACATAGGATGCGAGATTTGGACCGGACCGGAAGTCTATCCTTCAGGCGCTGCGAAATCAGTGGTCCGGTTTCGATAATCAATTTAGGGTTGCTGTTAAGAATGTCTGAGCCATTGCGGTTGACGGCTCAAAAGGTATACCCCCTCTAAAAGGAACGGTAACAAAGACCTTTTTCGGTACTGTAGTGACACCGTTGGTAGAATGGGTAGTGTGGCGTGCTTTTTAATGAACTGGAGACGATATCTATACTCTTGCTATGTATTGGGTGTATTCCGAAAAGCGACATGGGTAGGCCAGTACATCCACTTTCTCAGCTACGTGGCACTAAGATACAAGCGAAATCTAGTCCAATGACTTTTATCCCACCAGGGCCATCAGCAGTCCTGAGACGATGGACATTGAAACTCACCTTGTTCTTTGTACTTGTTCGGGTCTTCGGGACAGATGACGACGATTCTCGAGCTCCATTGGCCTACGCTCGAGAAAGCGTATCCTCGGAGCAACATCGCCCAGTCGCCCTAATCCTCATTTCCTGCTAACAAATTTGATTTTATGCTTAGAATATAGCGCGCCCAATTTGGTATACCAAACGTTCATTGTGAATTGCAGAATGCCCAGTTTGTTTTACAAAACGTTCATTTTAAAGTGAATATATATATATATATATATATATATATATATATATATATATATATATAAACATCCGCATTCACGATTACGGCATGACTTACTTTTAATTGTTGAGAAATGGTCTGTTGGAGTACCATATGCTCCACACTTAAGGGAATAGACCGTCGACAGTCAAGTCGTGCGTACGATGTCGTCGAGATCCAACTTTTTGCTCTTGAACGAACAAGACCTGCAGAAAACGTGACCTATTGTAAACGTAATCCATTTCGGTCAAGCCTAGAGTAAGGGGGGAAGTGAGATGGTCACGGATCCTTCGGTGATGTTCCACTTGTGCTTCAGGCTCTTTCAATTTATCAGTCTTCAAGCGAGTTTGATTAATCCTAAGCGAGCCACCAAAACGCATGCATACCGTCGCACGTACCAGCCCATAATCAGATTCGATGCATGTGGACCAATAGGATCTGCATTCTCGAGCACGCCCACGCCACCGTCTAGTTATGGCGATGTGGTCAATCTGCTATCAATGTTGCAACCATGATGGAGTACAGAAGCTAGGCAGCCTTTCTCCGTTATTCGAGCAAACGCTGTGGTATATATGCGGACCTCCGAAATGGCGTTCGCTTGGCAGTGAACTATCAACATGCGCCTTGACATCTCCCGTCATAACAATGATGACCGTTTTAGCGGTCCTTAAAAGCAGATCATGGAGGTTCTGTATCCCAGTGAAAGGTGAATGACTTGCTATGTTATTAGTCTCGTCTACGCGACTGCATCGGTCGGACTTTTTGTATAATGCTGCTATCGTTCTATGGTGGCCTCGTTCCCCCATCATGCACGCCGAATCATGGGGACAAAGCCGGATGTTGGCTCCTTACTTCATGTACAAAACTTGCATCAAGCCATCGTATCCAGCTGATTCGTCTCACCATTTACATTTATCTCCCTTGCAATGCTAGCCAATGTTTCACATTACGATTCTATCATCATTTTTACGTTTGTTTATCACCACATAGTACTCGCATTCTAATAGGTTATCTACAGTTCTCTGACTCCTTTCTCTTTTTGGTTCATCTTTGATTATTCCTTTTCTGTTCCCCAATCCAGAAGAACGCCCATATACGTGTGACCGCTGTGGTAAATCGTTTCCTGCAAACGGCACTTTGCAGAGGCACATCAGTTTTGTTCATTCGCGTGAGTGTGTGGGTTCAACTTTGGTTGTGCCGTCCTCCTTAATTTCATTTGTTCTCAACCGAATTCACATTGCGTTGTTTTTAAGTCGGAGTTGAATAGTATTTTGCAAATGATTTCCACTTCTATCACACACTTTACGGTGAGATTAATGCGTATCGTATATAGTTTGGCTCTCATCTATTCGCTTCTGAAACCTTCCTTTTGTGTGTATGTGTTTGTGTTATGAGTCGAATTTATTCTAACAACCGGTCTGCTTGTTCTTTAGTTATGCAGAAAACCAAGTCACAAGTTTCCCCCCGATATCGTATTTCAACTTTCTTTCTTGGCAGCTGTATTCGCGATTTACGAATCAGCAACCTCACTCCTAATGAAAACATCGGATCTCACCGTTGTGTGAGATAGGCGCACCGAATCGCCTTCGGTGCGCAGTGCTGAATGTGTCGAATTTGCCTATCTACCTCGATTGAGGCCTTCGAGTAGTATATGGTTCTCCATCAGCTTAATTGAAGCTGAGCAATTGTAACAGTTCCATGCATCTTCTCTCACCCACCCAGGTACTGCGAAAAGCGTGCTTTAGCGGCAACAAGCATCCATTATGTGCATTCGATCTGACCATTCACAGCTCCATTCATTGGAGAACGTTTTTCTGGATGTTGCACGGTGTGTTCTTGCTCGGAGCCTTCATCAAGCACTGCTTTTTGTGGTATTTCCTAGCATCATGCATCTGTGATCTTCTGACGTTCTCCTTGACTCTTGACCCGGTACTCACCTGTTTGCCTATTCCTCACTGCCTGCTGTCGGGGTTGTACTTAATTTCCCCTGACCGAATCGCTTTGGCTTCTTTGGGTGGCTCATTTATGTTGCCTGATTCTACAGCCAATCCATTTGCCGCGGGCTGCGTCGCCTGTTTATTGATATAGATCGATATTTAAAAACGAGGTGGTATGCATACATAAAACTGAGATCTACTCCTGAGACGAATGAGTGATGTTGATCAGGATGGAATATTATTTGCTATATGCAGCAACTGTATGTAGAAACACCATTCCCTTTATTTGCCCTGCTGCCTTGCGGGTAGGGTATTTTACCAATGGCTCGGGGTGGTGTCCCCTAAGTCCGATTTGGGTTACTGACGAAACCATGGATTTCTCTATGCTGTGTTCGGTTTTCTTTTTATGAGAACTGTACTTTCCTTTGATTTCCATGGTTTTTGATAGATATTGTTCTATTCGTAGCTGATGCAAAATATATGCTAGAATCTCTGTAACTTGAACACCAAAGGCACTGGACGAGTGGTCACAGAGGTTCGAAGTCAAAAGTTGCGTAACCTACTTTCCCGTTGTTAGTAGTATAATATGAAGTTTATTTTTACTTAAACTCGTTTTGTTCACACTAGACGAGGTCTCACTTAACGGCAACCGCAGTTCAACACTACCCTTGTTAAAACATCAAAACACAGTGCTTTTCGCCAGAAATCCTTTTTTGAAGGAAAGGATCAATCTTCTGTTTCTTATCACAAAGCTCACTGAAAAATACGCTCTCAGCACACGCTACACTAGTCAGCATGCTTGGACATTTTTCACAGCAAATGACTTCAGCTGCCGTAAAAGATGTCCGCCATCAACCTGTTTTGGTGGTTCTCTGGTTTCCATGTCAACTTCATTTAATTCTTCTTCATAATTTGGAGCTTCTTGTTTGTTTCCGTACGAGTTTACCGCACTCAGTATTTTTGGAAATCACAGTTTGGTCTGGTTCAGTGCAGATTGCCAAGTCATCATCCATTTCACCAAACTCTTAAAAATCTATTCCCTTAAAATATGTAATGGGAGATGGAATGTTACTTAAACCAACAGCGTCCGGCTCGAGACTTTAAACGAATTCAGCTTTCTTGAGGCACTTCTATATGGTTTCTGGCTGACCCCTGTGTGAAGCGGAACCTATCCAAAACACAGCATCCAGAGCCATGGCACATACAGATCACTGGGATTCATTTTTGTTTTAACCCATTGCATGAGCTGGGCACGATAATGCGTCTTGAGCATTTTGATGATTCCTTGGTCCATTGGTTGAATTTTTGTAGTCATATTTGGAGGCAGCAGTTTTTGTAATGTTCATGTGGTTATCAATATGCATATGACTTGGACAATTATCTCCTGACAGTAGAATGAATCGTTTTTTCTTCATCCTTTTTCGGTCGATTTTCATATCCACTAGTCAAGTATGGCAGCAGTCAACTATGCAGATTTGTTTGGTCTCCAGTTGCCTGGAAGGTTTTCAAGACTGAGATTTTTGAACACCCGTGGTTTAGCTAACTTAGCAAAGACCAATAGCTTTAGCTTCTATCTACTTGAGCTAGCGCACAGCACGACCATAAAATGTTCTTCGGAATGCCTTTATAACAAGGCTACTGCTGCGCATCGCGTTGTACAAGATGCCGCATTCATCAGCGTTAAAAATCTCACCATCACTGAAACCCTTGCTGACGAGGGGATTATTTCCAGTGAAATCTTGAACAAACTCTTCGGGAACTTCATTGGTTTCACCACACAAAACTCTTTGGTAAACGTTGCATCGCGGCTTAAATTTCTCTAGTCAATCATTTAGTGCTTGAAAATCTGCGACCCCGAAATTTGTGAACATATTTTAGCAATTTTTTGAATTATCTGCCCGGAGATTCGAGCATTAACTGCTCCCATTACTATAAACCAATGCAGCGTTGCTTCACTGACTTCATGGTGTGAAATGTTCCATCTCTTTCGCTGTAGACCTCTTTCATTATCGTATCTCCCAATATTTATGCTTATGCTGTTGGTTGTTTTTAACTGTTGTCTTGCTAACACTAAGCCGTTCTGCCGTTTTTCTTTGGCTGCTGGTTTCCAGAAAATATGACTAATTAATCTTCTCCTTCAGCGTTAACTCTGTGAGCTTTTTCCATATTGCTTCGATAGGTGTAATAGCCGATCTCGAGTTGTTCAAAGCACGGAGTGGATCCAATATCTAGTGTGCTACTTACCGAAAGTCTATCAGATACAACAACATACTTTACTTGTTTGCGCTCTCCGACAGACAACACAGTGCGGCATAAAGTCGAACGTTCAATGGACGTAAGCGTCAATGTCACTACGCTCCAAGGTGCTGAACAGTTTAGCTTAGAATCGGTTAATCGATGAACATTTATTTTTGGCAAATGCATGTATGCGCAATGAACAATGAACAATGAACAATGAACAATGATTTATCACGGGATAAAAGCAAGTGCTTGACACGTCCCGTAGGATGGTTGAGGTGAATATGATAAAATCAAAATATGTCTGGGTCATCTATCGAACGTCTGCCGATATGAATAGTTTGATAAGCAACATCAGTGTAAAATTAAAATAAATTATCGGGCGGAAACATGCAGAAAGACACTGGGGTGCAGTGATCATTGAGGTAAAGAGTGAGAATAGTAAAATATGGTCGCTCACTTAGGTCCATTTGATACATACG